ATTATGAGAGCAAGCAATCTGCATTTAGGAAAAAAAAAAATATATATATATATATAATTGAAACAGAAATGCAAAGACGTAAGAGGTGCAAGAAGGATGGAAAGGTACAGTACAGAAATGGTTTTCAAAGAAAATAGTGAATTACAGACAACAGATTAAAAAAAACTTACAAAGCTTAAAAAAATCCCAGCAATTTTAGAATAGTTTAGGGATGCTCCCAATTGTGCAAAAATCAGAAGCCCACTCTCAGGGGGAAGAAAAAGAGGCGAAAACATTTTCTTAAGGATAATCAGAGCCTGATACCAGAACAGCTTTTCCATGCAGAAAGCCCCAAGCCCCTGCAGCCTGCCTGTGCACCCCACTCTGCAGGAACAGAACTCAGGTGCACCCACTGGTGCCACTAGTCACTTGTTCCCCAGCACCACTGCAGCTCCATCCCGTACCTGAGCTGTGCTGAGCCAGGCAGTGGGGAGGGACAATTCATGCTGAGAAGCAACTGCAGATCATCGGAAAATCCCTGAGAAACTGAATTCAATCCTGAAATAAGACAGCTAACTTTTCTAATCATAACCATGTATTTTCTATTGTGTGAAAGACATTGCAGCATAGTTGCATAGTTAACCCCACGAAATCCTGAAAATTTCCCCTGTGAGGATTTAGGTCTGGTTTCTGACAATGAATAATCAGATATCTCCACATAAAAATACATTTCTGTTTTCTTACAGTATTCATTTGAGGTTTAATCACAGTTGTCAATGTGCTATTTCAGTGAATAATATTTTCATGTTGAGTTATTTTACAGTTCATACAGCAGTACGAAATATCTTAAGGTACTAACTGATTATTTAGACTTTATTTATTGTAGAGAAAAGCAACTACATTGAAAATATTGTATAAATAGCAAATACATTAAACAGCCAAATCCCTACCTTGCATTATGAACAGAAATGACATTACTTTAAAACATTTGAAAAACATCATCATAATTATATGTTATCAACACAGAGACAGATTACCTATTATTTTAACATAATTAATTTGAGCTCAGTACATTTATGTTGCTGTATGTCATTATCCATCAATATAATTATGAAATGCTAAAAATTGGGGTTTGAATATTCGAGTTACTTTAATTGACTGGGTGGTTTTTTTCTCTGAATCCATCACTCATTTGTCTCCATCTTCAACGTCTGAAATTTTTAATTACAATTTGCACTTCTTTTTCTGTCTGTCCCCTAGGCCACATCCCAGTCTTGCTTGTGATGTTTTCGCACCAGGGCCTTCAAGAGAGAAAAGTTTTCCCTCTTCAGTGACCACAAGCTTATAACCAAGTTTATATTATTTTACTGCAATAGTTGGGGTTTTTTCATCTCTTATGGGTATGTTCTTCTTAATTTACACTTTCATACCTATGTTTTCTGTCATTTTTTTCTCTGTTAAACCTATCATACTCCATACCCAGTGTGAAAGGCAAACAAAATGATAAAGGGTATAAAATTTTAAAGGGCTTTCTCTGTGTCAGGATTTGTTCTCTGTCTAGCTCAATGGAGAACTCCCTTCCCAGTCCTTCAATAGGTCTGGGTTTGGTTTTTATTCCTCTGAGCTTGCAAGGTAGGATACGTTGCCCATGTGTGATCTCAGATGACAGGGGGAGTAGATGGAAGCTCTGTATGAAGGTAAAAGTCTACACGTTTCTTGTCATACATGTCTGTCTGTCTCCAGGAAAGCACTGAGGCCACAGCTGTCCCCTGCAGCACCCAGGAATG